GCAAGACGAGATAAATGTATACAGGTTGATTTCCAAATGATTAAGGTGCAATTTTGAATTTGGATATTTGGCTCACATTCTATTTAACCGTGGTTTGGCATTGCAGATATGAACACCAAGACATTGCTCTACACTGTGGCACTATGCTGCGAGAGTGTGCCAGGTATGAGGCTCTTACACGAATTATTCTGTACAGTGACGACTTCTATAACTTTTTCAAGTATGTGGAAGTGTCAACCTTTGACATCGCATCTGATGCCTTTTCTACGTTTAAGGTAATTATTGTTTGTGTACATTAGGGGTAACTTGTGTCATTGTTGTAGATGTAAATCACTTTTTTTTTTTTTTTTTTAACTTTTTTCAATTATTTCAAAAGGATCGGATGACAATGAAATTTCCCTGTAATGCAAGAAATAAAAAACTCTCCCTGAATCTTTTCTATAATGAATCCATGCATTATATAAAGTTTGCCACTGAAGATTAAAGTAGATTAATAGCTTTTTCCAGGCTACTCTTTTTTAAATGTTATTACCTATAATGTTTGCTCTTTCTTACAGGAACTCCTGACAAAACACAAGATGTTGTGTGCAGAGTTCTTGGAACAGAATTATGACCGAGTGTTCACACAGTATGAGCATCTTCTAAACTCGGAGAATTATGTGACTCGTAGACAGTCACTCAAGTTACTTGGGGAACTTTTATTAGACAGACATAACTTTTCTGTAAGTATTTGTATGGTATGTTTGCAAGATATGTTGATAACTCAGTGAATGAAAATGCTGGGGGGAAAAGGAATGCCTGAGAATTTGTTTTATAACTGTACAATATTTTGCAGGTGATGAAGCGATACATCAGCAACCCCGATAACTTGAAACTGATGATGATAATGTTAAAGGAGAAATCCCGCAATATCCAGTTTGAAGCCTTCCACGTGTTTAAGGTCTTTGTAGCCAACCCCGACAAGCCCCGACCCATCTTGGAAATCCTCTTACGGAACCAGGACAAGCTTGTCGAGTTCTTGACGCGCTTCCACACAGACCGCTCCGAAGACGAGCAGTTCAATGACGAGAAAGCTTATTTAATTAAGCAGATTAAGGAACTGAAACCTCTTCCCCCCGGACCAGTAGTAATAGTGAAACCTGAAGAATTGAGTGGCAGCGATGGAGTAGCTTGGGCAAAGTCTGGGCTGGCTGTTGATTGAGCCACGTCATTCGCAAGAGGATGATATAAGAGGAGCTCCCTTCAGAATATGACAACACCCAGTCATTCTTGCACAATTCAGTAATTTCAACATTGTTTTAGCTTCCTCTATATTATGCCTTAGAGATCCTCAAGCCCTGATAAGGGGTTACCTGAGGGATTGCTCATAGCACGACCCTTCATAGCTGCTGAACAATTTCTCCTTGTTGAGGACAGTCAAAGATTGCAGTGTAGTCATGGGCTTTTAAAAACTCAGCATGTTGTTGTCCATGTTGGGGCCAAAGTGAAGCTATTATGTATTCATCCTTAATCCTGTTGTGGAGGGCATTCTAGCTCTTATCTTGGAAGCAATTCAGTGTAAAAGAATAAGCAGAGAATAAGGTTAGGAGGCAAGGTATCTGTTTTTTGCCATGGACAGTAACAATATTTTCTAACAAGCCATGGTTTGCTTGAAATATTATAAAAGTTTCCTTTTGGATGGAGGTGGAACAGTATGGATTATTTAACTAATACTAATTGCTAGAATTTAGAGAGGTATCATTATTCTAAATTATAAAATATTGAGTATTGTAAGTGATGCTGCACTGTCAAATTTCATGAAGAGTAATGTCCTTTTATATATATTTGTACATAAACATGTGTGGAAAGGGATGTGATTTATATTGGACAGTGTTGGTAAAAATTTAGAGTTAATGATTCCTGCAAAGCAAATGTTGTTCTATGTCATATTTGGGTACTTAAGATTCTTTAATGGAATAATTTTAAGATTATCTGAATATCATGCAACAGCTATTTTTCGTACATATATATAGATATATATAAAATGTAAGTTGGTTAATTTCCAGCTAGAAATACCACCCATAATTGCATTGGCTTTTGATCTGGTTTGCAGCAAGGAATATTAATATACTTAAGATTTGTCATTTATGAAAGGAGATGGGAGCTTCAATAACAGGTTTTAGAACTTTCAAATAGTAATGAAGATAACAATTAAAAAAAAAGAGAAAAAGGAAGGTTTAATGTGAGTGAAAAGGTCTCCATGCTTCCTAGATCAGTAAAGCTTTTATAAAGAAGGGCTGTAACATTAGAGTTTCATGCAAGTGGGACTTAATATTTATGTACTGTACATCCATCACCTGCAGGCCAATTGGTAGTTTGATGGATTGAGCTCATTGTAATTGCCCAAGAAACCATAGAAATTGTGAAGAGAACAACCTGTAGACCGAACCAGTTGGAATGCTGTCACTAGTTTAGCATACGGCCATGTGATACAGATTTCCATGAAGTATCTTAGAGTTTTGTATCATTGGTTTTCATACAGTGCAAGGTCATGAGAAAATAATTTTTAATATAATTTTTTGTTATGCTGAGTTTGTTATTAATTAGGAAATTATTTTAATTTAATGTAAGAATAATACCAATGTTAACATATTTCTTTAGTTTGTATTATGTAGGGGTGCTTCATCACAGTTTTGGCAGTATTTGGCAAATTTATAGAGGAAAACGCATTTGGCACTTAATAGTATGAAGGTAATTACTTTTTTATGAATTGTTTTAATTTATATGTATTTCAACATCAAAGAATATTGGCTAGTGAATCCATGCTAAAAATATATTGAATAAACTTTGGTGTATGTTTGTTTAACCAAATTCTGCTTCTGGTGATTTTTAGTGTGTAAACAGTGAATTGCACATCAGATTTTTTTAGTATGTTTCTGTCTACATTCATAACATATTATAGATAACTGTAAGGACAAGAACTCTGAAGTTTTCTATTCACATGAAAAATCAAGGCAAATAGTTTCAATGTAGCATCTCCTAGCAAAAGCCTATAAATACCGTCCAATATCATGGGAAAAATATAGCCTCTTTGTTAAAAGATATAGTAAATGCACTTTTGCAGATATTTTTTTTTCGTGACTAGAAATGGTAAGATTTAGTTTTGATCAGAATAGTGCCTTTTATCATAAAAAAAAAAAAGTAGAGATACCAGCTAAACATTTTACAGAGGAATCAAATGGTCTATTGATATGGTTAATCTCTATTACACTGAATGGAATGTTTTTAGTTCTTAAATTCTATAAAAAGAGACCCCCCCCAATCCCTTGCTTGTCATTGTCGTCCGAGGGGTAAATACAGACTGGCCTCAATGTGGGGGCTCATCCCTGCCTTGGATCTTAGTCCTTGCCTCAATTAATTTTATATGGTCTTTTCTTCTCCTTTCCTTTGCTTTCTCTTCCCCTTTTCTGTCCACATCCTAAAGTGTGAGAGCTGTGTTAAAAGGGTGAAAGACTGTCTTTGTCAGTCCTGAATGGCCTTCATACTCTTTATTATTCCCTCTCTACCCTTTTCACTACCATACTTACCTACAGCACTCTACAACATTTGACATCAAACATATTTGGTTCTAATAGTTAACTTATTTTTATTCTTTTTGCCACAATAGTTTATCACAATGCTACATGATCTTTCCTTACCTGAGGACCCACCCAGCCTCGCCTTATTGCTGCATTTTGAATATGTTGCTTATGTCCTCGATGTTGATGCGGCAGTTAATTTTCAATAAATAGATAGATCAATAGAATGAAATAAAATACATGAATTAACTACAAAAATAGTTAATATCAAGCCAGAGCTTGACATAAGACTCCTCAGATGGTAAAACTATTACTGTGTCATTCTAATCTGACTTGCCTTGACTAGCATCGTTTTAATTCTTTATATTAATGTGAATGCCCCCATAATCTTTCCTCCTTGTCATGGGGGGACTTAGGAGATGGAGACTAGGGGCACAATGAAGGGGATCACCCCTGCCATGGACCTTAGTCCTTGCCTCAACTAATTTTTCAAAGTCTTTTGTTCTCCTTTCCTCTTCCTCCCCTTTTGTCCACATCCTAAAGTGTGAGTGCCATGCTGAAAGGATGAAAGGCTGACTTTGTTGTTGTGAATGGCCTTCATACTCCATTTGCTCCTCCCTCTTTACTGTTTTCTCTACCATACTAACTTACAGCACTCTACAACCTTTGACATCTAAGATATTTTGACATCTAAGATATTTTGTCCTAATCGTTAACTCATTTTTAACCTTTTTGCCACAATACTTTATCATAGAACTGTATGGTCTTACATGTCTGGCACATTTATTTGTTTTGACCGTTAATCATTCAAACCATTACTGTGAATGCATTACATGTATCCTGTACTCTTGATGTAGTAGATAAATCCACAATATTCAATATATTTATCCTTGCATCTACTGAGTACTTCATTATTTTGAATCACCGATGATTAAACTCCAAGTAATGGCATACTTTATACAATTATGAGATCAGTTATGAGAAAAGGCATACTGTTCATAAAAGTAATACAGTATTATTCTTTTTAATAGTGTGTTTGCCAATTTATTCACAAGATTATTTAGAGATTGAATAAGGCTATTTTGTCACTGCAATTGATATCAGAAATCCCAAAATGGTATTACTAATTTCATTAAATTGTTCTACTTCCACAAGAAATAGGTTCTACTGATTTCTTTTAAAGAAGTTTTCTTAGGAACTGCAGTTTAGTACTTTTCATATCTGAGCTTCTTCCTTTATGAATGTTACTATAGTGCAAATAAAGTGTCAGGATGAAGTTATGGTGATATGGGTTAGGAGATATTTCACTGACACTTCTAAATCCAGACAGTATGATAGTTGCTGATTGCTCAAGATTAAGTAACTTTTATATGAATCAACTAGTAAGTTTTACAAAAAAAAATAACAGTGAGTGACATGATTCAATTATTCTGTAGGTCTTTGGTGTCTACCATTGGGGACAACACCAGCTTTGTTTTCCTTTGAAATGAAAGTCTGTCTGTTCAAGTTATTGTTCAGTATGTAGGTCCTTGGGGCCAGTGGCATTTTCATTACTGGGTGTTTTTAGGATTTGCAAAATGATTGGAGAAGATATATTTTAAGAATTAATTCATAATGTAATAGAAAGTATGATCCATTGTATAGAACTTCCTTGATCTCAGTTTTACATGTCTATTTTAGGAAATATAAGTATACATAATTGGCATGTGAGTAGACTGACAAATAATCCAAGGAAATTAAAATGAACACTTGTGTGCTTCTGTAGCCTAAAACATTCATTTCCTTCAATATGCAGATATCAAGTAAAACGGTATTAGATGGTGGTACTCTTAAACTTTTTTTCCAGATGAGTATAAAGGAAACTGGTTCCAGTCCATCAAAATGCCACTTGGGACTATCTAGTCATTTTGACGTAACCATAGATTCTGTAAGGTATAAGGAAAGTTTAGCATGAAACCTTTCATAAATGGGCGGTAATTCATTTGAAGTCAAAAGCATGGCACTAATTACACAAGTGTTACAAAATCACTGAAGTATAGATAACACTTGTTGAGTATAAGTCAAGAACTTAGAAAATACATTTGCAAAGATTAAAAAAGCGTAAAATATATGGAAAAAAGACATTGAAAACATAAATTCAATTATGTTCTTGAAAGAATTTACTCAAGCATTGATTTATAAATACAGTTCAAGGTTAGTGAGTCATTCCTGAAAACAAAAATGCAGACTTTGATATGTTCTTGAGATTTTCCTTCTTTATATGTCTGTATAAACATATTATTGTTTGTTGGATCAGGCAAAATATGCAGAGAAACTTTTTAATAGGAAGAAGGTTATAAGGAAGCATAAATCATTAATCACTGAGTTCAGAATTATGGATGGTCATCAGACACGCATTTCTAACATCTTTCATTCCCACGTGCACGTGAGCGCCCGCCATGCGCGCGCGCACACACACACACGTGCGCATACACACACACACACACAACACACACACACACACACACACACACACACACACACACACACACACACACACACACACACATCCAGACGTACACAAACACGCACATACACACACACATGAATAAACATATAGACATATACGTACACTTACACACACGCACACAAAAATAAACATACA